CCATTGAGTTTTCTCCATTTTCTCCTGTGAGTAATGCAAGAAGAACTCTGAGGTCGTGTTGCCCTGGTGAGTGTCCATCTTCACCATTTACTAACTGTGTGACTTTGGGCATTGCTTTTTTTTTTTCTCTTTTCTGGTTTATAGTTTTTAGTTCATGTGTGAAACTCTGTGAAATTTACCCCTTTCCATGAAACAGTCTATTGATTTGATTTTGTGTTGGTCTTGATTATGCTATCATTTTTACAAAAATCAGTTTTACAATGCACTTTCTGATATTATATTTCTTATAAGCTTTCTGCTCCATCTTCTGTGATGTCCATGTGCTGTGGGGCAATGGTCTATTTTCTGTCAATTATATTTTAAATAAATGCTGATTGACCAGTAGCCAGGGAGGAAGTATAAGCGGGACAACCAGACAGGAAGTAGACGCAGGTCAATAAGAACAGGAGAATTCTAAGAAGAAAGTCCTGGTCTGCAGTCCTGTCTCAGCCACAGAAGAACCAAGATGTGACTTCCTCACCGAATAAGGTGCCAGCCACGTGGCTAGCATAGACAAGAATAATGGGCTAATATAAGTAATAAGAGTTAATAAGAAGCCTGAGCTAATGGGCCAATCAGTTTATAACTCTGTGTGATTTCTTTGTGACTTAACAATTGCAGAACCTAGCAGGACAGAAACCCGGACCAAAAAAAAAAAAAAAATGGCACCCAACATGGGGCACCAATTGTTGCAAGGAGGGGCTGCTTGTTTGTCCCAGCTGCACGGCTAGCTTAGCCCCAAAATAACTACACAGAAATTATATTAATTAAATAAATGCTTGGCCCATTATCTCTAGCCTCTTATTGGCTAACTCTCACATCTTGATTTAACCCATTTCAATTAATATGTGTATTGCCACATGGCATTTGTTTACCAGGAATGATTTGGCATGTCTGTCTCTGGTGGCTCCATGGTGTTCTTCCCCTAATCTGCCTTTCTTCCTCCCAGCATTCAGTTCTGTCTTCCCCTCCTACCTAAGTTCTTCCCTATCAACTAGGCTAAGTCAGCCTCTTCATTTATTAACCAATGAAAGCAACACACAAACAGAAAAAACTCATATTCCATCCATGAATCACAGACACAGGATATATAGTGTAGACGCTGGGATTCAATGTTTCATTGATCTCTGCTTTATATCTATCTGTGGAATTCTGTGATAGTTTCTATTTGCTATAAAGAGTCTTCTTTGATGGGCAGCTGCACAAATCTGTGGGTATAAGGACAAGATTTAGAATATAGTAACATAATGTAATATAATGTATTGCAATATTTTATAATATTATTGTGCAATATTTTTACTACATTATATGTAATATATAATACATTTATACACACATAATTACACACACATGGAAATTAAACCGCTTGGACTGACAAGGCATGCCACATGTACCAGAGATCAGCCAACTCCTAATCCTTTGCTGAAGGAACTTTTGAGTGGTTTAACTGGATAGATCAAATGACTCTTAATATAATGTAGGCTGACACTGCAATCATAAATACAGAGGGCACTGTTGTTAGCCATAAAGTGAGGAAGCCATGTCTTATTATAACAGAATGATTTGACATTCATGAAAATGATACACAAAAGGTTTTCAATGAAATGTGTCTGTCTAATGTTTGGAAGTACAAGATGGAATCAAGAAAACTCTTCAAGAAAAGAAATTATTGTAGACTGCCGATGAACTGAGTGCAGATCCTGTTGAGATGTCAGAAGAACATGCCCATCCAGCAGCACAAGTATACTTTGTTTGTTGGTCTGATATTTCAAGAAAATATGTAATAAAGTAAATATAATTTTATTCATTAGATATGATGGCTGATTTTTAAATGCAGCTTAGCTAGACTTCAACAGGTGAATATGGAGAGGTATGTTGTCTGTCTGGACAGGACACAGTAGAGAGGAAAGAAAGAACATTTTGGGGGGAGATATCTTCCTTTGTCTCCTAAACAGATTTTTGGATGGTTATACAGAATAGTGACATAAAAGAGTCACAGCTAACATATAAAATAAAATATAAATATTTGGTGTTCAATAATTTCATAAACTATTCTAGGAAGAGGTCAAACAGAACAGTTTCATACCCTAGCATGCAATTCTGAAACTGAAGTGACACTGGGTGACTGTACAGGCAGCAAGATGTCTCTGTCATTTCTAGAGTTTTGAAAGTTGCTTACTTTTTATTTACTTGGGTAATATATCCTTCTGGAGTCTTTGATGGAGTTGAAGAATAGTTAGATAGTTATAGTTATAGTTTTCCATTGTTATGATAAAAGATAAAATAGATACAAATATTGTAAATATAATCCTTGCTTGATAATTGTTTTGTTATATGTAATTTTACTATGTTAAAGTTAAAGCCTTTGTTTTTTTGTTTAAACAGAAAAAGGGGACATTGTGTAGAAGGTTTTTCTGTTTATGTATTGTTTTCATTGGTTGAATAAAGAAACTGTCTTGACCTTTTGATAGGGCAGAACTTAGATAGGTGTGGAAAAGAGAACTGGATGCTGGGAAGAAGAGCAGTGTGGCAGATGCCATGAATGTCCTGCCTGAGACAGATGTAGGTTAGAATCTTGCTAATAGGTATCACCACAGTCAGGTGGCAATACACAGATTATTAGAAATGAGTTAAATCAAGATGTGAAAGTTAGCCAATAAGAGGCTAGAGATAATGGGCCAGGCAGTGATTTAATTGCTACAATTTCTGTGTGATTATTTCTGGTGTAAGCTAGTGGGGTGGTTGGGATGACAAGCAGCCCACTCGCTCCTTACTAAAACTAAGAACTATAAAGTTTTTTATTTTTTAAATTTCATTTTACATTCCCACCCCACCTCCCACCCCCTGCTTTGCCCCCCCAAAGCCTAACACTTATCCATTTCTCCCAAATGTTAAGTGCTCCCATGGGGAGTCAATAAAGTTTGGCAATCCCCATCTGCAATAAGGCTAAGAATGGCATCTCACCATAGGGAATGTGCTCCAAGACGCAAGCACATGTAACAGGGATTGATCTTGGTCCTACTGCCAGGGGTCCATCAGAGAGTCCAAGCTTCACTACTGTCTTCCACATATGGAGGGATAAAAATTAAAAAAAAGAAAGAAAGAAAAAGAAAAAAAAAACACATTCAGAGGCAGTTGCAGGGGCAATGTAGAGGCAGGAATGAAAAAGAAACAAATGGACCTTTTACTTTCCAGGACAAGTGAGATGAATTCTTCTTCACTGTTGTAAAGAAAAAAATCAGGATTTTGTTTGCATGTAGTTATTTCTGTAGGGTTGAGGCTTTGTGTTCTTTTCCTATACAAGATTTAAATGAACTGATACTTAAACACTACTCTGCTCGTGCCTTATGCAAAGTAAAGCTTGATGATGCATTAACTATCTTTAGATTTTTCTAACCTATAATCTCAAGAAACTTGTACCTGGTGCTTTCAAACTCTCTTCTAGATCTAACTTTTTCCCTAGATTTCAGTAGTTTTTTTTTTTTTTTTTTTAAAGAAACATCCAATGTTAGATCCCTTTTAATGAAGACTATGATTTCTGTGTGCATATATTTCATATATCATTAACCTTTCATTTTGGATACAGCATTAGCTCTGGGTAGCCTTTGTAATGACTGTTAAAATATGCCTGAGAAAATTTGTTTTCTTGTTGGATAAACACAAGAGGTACGTGAGGGTAAATCCTCATTTGTAAAAAACCTGATGGGATCGTGTATTAAGGTCCATGTTGGAAAAGTCTAGTTTGTGATATATAGTGGGTTTTCCTTGATTGGAAAGTATGAGAGTGTAATACTCAGCTGTTCACAATCACCTATTGTCTTTATAGGAAGATAGTACCTGACAGAATATCCTGTTTAATTAAACCCTCCTAGAGTTAACTCTTATTTTATAAATAGTGTTAAAGTTGCAGTCCTCTGTGTATAGTGTATATACATTCAAAAGTTTTCTTATAATATTAATCTTTATAAATTTATTTGGTTTTTAATTGTTTTCTCTTATTTCCTACTACTATTTTGTTTATCATTAGTCATTTTGTTTATCATTAATCTGTCCTTGGGTGTTTTGGGGTAAATGAGTAATTGGATAAAGCAATAACAAATTGATGTTAAAACGTTTCCTTTCCTACCTCATTCTTCTCCTTCACAATTGTTCATGATTTTTAGGATGGGGCTTATCATTTGTCAGAAAAATTTTCCAATTTTATTCTTTTCCCATATGAACAATAATAAAAATTGATGCTAGAGTAAAAGAATATATCTTACGTTTTTGAAACTCAGAAATGTAAGCAAACAAAGCACCATGACTCTACATGAAGAAGAAATATGAATATGGGATTGTAAGGAAATGATGAGTCAAACAACAGTGCAAAGAATGTTGACTTGATAACCATAAAAATGGATAGTAATCGGGTTCTGTTTTTTATTGCCACTCTGGTTTAAGAAAGTGGAAACACCGTATAAGTAGGACTACGGTAGCCCTTTGCTTACATATACACTAAGATAGTTCTCTCTATATATTTAAATCTCAGAGTTAAACGTCAGTTATTGTAATCATTTAACATACAATCCAAAAAAATACTTTTTGAATCATTGCCCAAGAGGTCAAACATCCATCTACAAAACATTTAAATAAACAAAGGCTATTGATGAATTTACTTATTGTCAATTTAATGTACGTGAGATTTGTCTGAGCAGAGCCGAGCTAACATATGCAAATATAACCAATGACACAAAGGGCTTTGACAAATTTTAGGGAGGTTTATAGGATGCTAACTGTAAATAAACTCTGGTTATAACAGAGAGTCACAGTTTTCTATGTGCCCATGATATTGAGACTCAATTTCTACCTTTGGTACATTACTTTCAAATCATTATGTACTAACAGTAATCTCAAATTCAGTGTTATTAATTAAGGCTTGTAGAATATTTCCTTCCCTAAATTACAGGATGTATACTCTATTGCTAATGAAAACTATTTTTTGTTGTGAGGAAACTTATCTTCTGTTTTAACTTTTTAAGGGCAACTTTGACATCTTTATTTCTCAGGCTGTAGATCATGGGATTCAACATAGGCACAACAATGGAATAAAACACAGAAGAAAATTTGCCTTGGCCCAGGGAGCTGACTGACGATGGCTGTAAGTACATGAATGCTAATGACACAAAGAAGACAGAAACAGCCAAGATGTGGGAGCTGCATGTGCTGAAGGCTTTGGACCTGCCCCCTGCAGACTGAATATGAAGAATGTTGACAATGATGAAGACATAAGAGCTAAGGATGATCATAACTGGTGCAATAATATTAAATGCACTGAAGGACAAAGCTAGTACTTCATTGATAAAAGTACTAGAGCAAGCGAGCTCCAGTAATGGAACGAAATCACAGAAGTAATGGTTTATTATATTAGCTTTACAGAAGAGCAGTCTTATCAGGAAGATAGTGTGAACTGTGGCACTCAGTAAGCCCATACCATATACCCCAGCTATCATCCACAAACAGACTTGATAGGACATGGTTACATTGTAAAGCAAAGGGTTAGAGATAGCCACATAGCGATCATATGCCATTACAGCTAGCATGTGACATTCTGCAACAGCAAAAATACAGAAGAAGTAGAACTGAGCCATGCATTCTGGGTAAGAGATGATATTCATCTCTGTCACAAAGTTCACCAGCATTTTGGGAGTAATGACAGTGGACTGACAGCAGTCAATAAGGGACAGACTGCTGAGTAAATAATACATGGGTGTGTGCAGCTGAGAACTGAACAGAATCAAGATGACCATGCCCAGGTTTCCCACAACTGTAACCAGATAGACTCCTAGGAAGATGAAGAACAGAGGCAACTGGAGCTTTGGGTTCTCTGTTAACCCAAAGAGGATGAACTCAGCCAGAGCAGTTTGATTTACTTCTTCCATTCTCTTCTGGAATCTCTATGTTAGAAGAAGATTAGATACAGAATAAGTTTTGAGGATCCATTCTCCTTTAACTCAATGAATTTTAAAATAGAATTCAAATGCCACCAGGTATTTTTAATCTTTTACCACCTTCTTTTCTACCTAAGGAGTAAGATAATTAGCAAAGAAAAAAAATCACAGAGATGTTTACGTATTGGTGACTTTTGTCTTAAGAGTTATATTACTGGTATCCATTTTCTATCACATGGAAAACATAAATCCAGAAAATTAAACCTAGGACCTTTAATTGAGTTTCTCAAAAATGACTCATGTCTTATTTATATCATCTCTCTTTAGGAAGAAAATGTCTTGCTGTGGTAAAGTAAAAACTATCCACAAGAGAATCATAGCTATAATTACAGTTAATGGTGAAATAATTGAAGATTTTACAATAAAATAATGAACAAGAGAATTGTCTATCTCTTCATTTAATGCTTATTTTTTCTGTAAAATCAGACACACATAAGAATGTACTTAAAATAAGTAGATTAGAAATCAAGAAGATAAACATCTACTAGTACATACATATAACTTGGCATATAAAAAATCCAGAATTGGCTAAAGAGAATTATTAAATGTAATTAGCAGTATATCAAGGTAACGTTATTAAGTTAAGATCACAGGACATTGAATAAATTTAAGAAAATCACCAACAAGCTATAATGAAATGTCTTGGGGTTATTTGTTGGATCCTTGTTTTTCTTTGACTCAGCAGATGACATTGTCCATATTTCACAAAAAAACAGATTCCCCATTCTAGATCAATTCCAAATCATAAGCAAAAATATCACAAGCACTAGAGACTGATACTGTTAACTAGTGTTCATTTTCAGCAGTTGTTTTTATGGTAACTCTTAGCTTTATAACTATTTATATTGACAGAATATATCATTTCTATTTTAATGCTTCTCTTGTGTATACCTTTACTATGATAAGCTGGGAACCATATATTGTGACAGCATGTGTCTTCCTAAATGAGAATGTTAAGAATATAATTCCCAATACAACATACTGATGAAGATCAGCAATTCTAGGGAGCATAGGTTATGTTGGAAATTGGTTAAAGCTATTATGAGAGCAGACTGGTGTGTGATCCCTACGTGGGGCTGACTCTTTCATTTTTTATATCTTTCATAATTTACTTCCTTTTTCCTTTAACCTTTTACCATACCACCATTCAGGAAAAGGGACTTCCCTTGATGTAGGCTTTTGATCTTCGGCTTCTCAACCTTCAAAGTCATATGACAAGATAAACACATTTCTGATAACTAAACATCTCTTTCCTGTGGTATTCTGATTTACCAAAAAGAACAGACCCTCTAGATCTTCTAGATCTCTAAATGTATTCATTGGTTGGCTCCATATATTTCTTGTCCTTTGCAAAGCTAACCCAAAAAATATCAATCTCCTTTACAAAAATCTCATTACCCTTGCTCATTTATGGCATATCTAACCATACTTATGGGCTTTGACCAATTTCCTTGGTTAACCTTCCCTTCAGCCCATTTCTAACAACCATACTTGGTTCCATTGTCTTCTGTATAGTTCTGCTGTGTCACTAGAGTGTTGGTATACCTTTGTGTTTGGTATAGAATTCCTCAATGCCTGCTTTGCATAAATTGTCTTGGGCTCTATTTTACAGATGCATCTTAAAGATAAAATAATTATAAGAAAAATATCAAAATAACAAAAAGTTACATATCATGACTGTTATAGAAAAGTACATTGAGTATATCAACAGGTAACCGGTGTAAGTTCTAATCTTCCTTCTCCAATCTAACATAATGTTTGTTGTTGTTAAAGGTGAGGTTTGTGTTTTAGTCACTAATGTTCAGCAAAACAATTTGTAAAACATCAGTACAATGAAGCAATATTAGCCTTGCAAATAAGCACCATATTAAAACCCAAGCGAAGGTGTTGTGTAAAGTAATTTTTAAATTTAAATATATTTGATTATATTAATCTCTTACCCAAAGCCAGATTCTTCCTTATTACCTATACAAATATAAATTCTTTCTCAACAAACAATAGAACTAAAAACCTCCAAAAACCAAGAATAAAAAATAAAATCATACTCCCTCCAAATAAAACTACGAAACAGTAACCAAATAAAAGCACATGCACAAAATCTCTGGAGTCCACATTATGTTGGTCAACTACTCCTAAACATGAGTCCTGTCCTGGAATGGTTGATATACTAAGTATTACTCTATTGCTGAAAACTAATTTTGCTTTTGTCAGTAGGAGTAAGTGGCGGTTAAGTTTTTAGCATTTATCCATGAGGTTTTCATTCAGTAACTCAATTTTCTTTTTCATTTTTCTTTTCAAATTTGTATTCTTTTCATTTCCTTCTATGATTCATCTAGGAATTCATGCTCTATATTAATAATAGTGAATAATTATGACAAGGATGGACATCTTTATCTCCTTCCAGGTTTTTAGATGTAATAGTCTCAGATTATAAAAATCGTCAAATGCTTAGCTTATAGCTCTTGGAGTTTACAACAATCTGTTATGAGAGTCCTTTTTTCAGCCTGGTTATATTAATTTATAGCTTCTCCGCTTCTTTTGGTCAGTTTTGATACAGCTTCATAAATATTGCTTTTTGTTAGCCCCCAAATTACTCTTTACTTGATTCTTTGAATAACTGTTTTAGTCTCTCTTTCATGATTTCTGACTTGTTACTATTTCTTGGCATCTATTCGTTTGGGGTTGACATGTTATTTTCTTTTTTTCAACACCTTGATGTACATCATGAAGTTAGGTTATTTTTCTTTTTGGTTTTTCGAGACAGGGTTTCTCTGTGGTTTTGGAGCCTGTCCTGGAACTAGCTCTTGTAGACCAGGTTGGTCTCGAACTCACAGAGATCCACCTGCCTCTGCCTCCCAAGTGCTGGGATTAAAGGCGTGTGCCACCACCGCCCGGCTCAGTAACTCAATTTTCAATATAACAAAATAAAATATAGTAGGATAAAACAAAACAAAACAAAAAACCTATAACATCAAAGTTGTTTAAGACAAACCAACAGAAGAAAAAGAGCCCACAAGAAGATACAAGAATCAGACACCAATCATACATTAGGGAATATGATAAAAACATTAAGTTGGAAAACATTGTATATATACACAGGACCTGGTACATTTCATGCTCATTATTTATTATTTATTTTTATTTTTATCATTTTATCTTTAATATCAGCAATTATATAACTATATATTTATTATAAATCATAAACATTTTTTCTACATAAAATTACATCTGTAGCAATTAGCACCACATCATTAACATATAAATTAAAAATCATTCAGCAAGCTAAGTAACAAACAGCTTCAAAATGACTGTGAAGCAAACCATCTGAATTAAAATTAGTGTACACAGAAATGCTTCTTGTGATTTAATATTGTAGGGAATGATATAATGCTTATGGAAGCTGAAGAAATGAATGAATCTGGATATTAACTGGTTTCTGTTGACATAACATCACGGGAATGAGGGAAATATCACAATATTACACTCATAGCTAAAGAACTACAGAAAAGACTCTGTTATGTTGCAGTGAAGGTACATCATGTACAAGTCAACTTACAGAAGCAAACATTCAGTTGGAGGCTTGATTAGACTTAAAGAGGATTTAGCCCATGCACAGTATGGTAGAGATCTAGGTTTCAGGGAGGCTTGCATGATGCTGTGCCAGTAGCTGAGACCTACATCCCAATCCATAGGCAGGAAACAGAGAGAGTGAAACTAGAACTTGCATGGGTTTTTGAAACCTCAAAGTCCATTCCCAGTGACCAAGGTCCCCCCCAAAAGGACACACACCTTCCAAAAAAGAGCATGACTCTTAATCCTTCCTAAATAGTCCCCCATCATGATACTCAATACTCAAATATATGAGCTTATTGTGGTCATTCTCATTCAGCTCATGACAGCTATCCAATGCTAACTGGATAGTCATAAACACATATACATATGAGCAATGCTGAATGGACACTTGTCAGGTTCTTTCTGTATATGCATATACACATATATGTTTGATATGTCATCTATATCTATATCTAATCTATATCTATATCATCTATATCTATATCTATGTAAAGAATGAGTCAGGAATTTGAGAGCTGTTGAGAGTTAAAGTTGTAGGAGAGAGAGGGAATGTGAAATGATATAAAGAGTTTTTAAGTATGAAATTCCCCAAACAATTTTAAATTAAAAAGACATAAATAAAGCCATGTTATCAATTACATTTTAAAAAAGAAAGTCAGGATATTAGAAGAAAAATGGGTCTTGAAAGATAAAATTGAAATAAGTCTAAAATCAAGAGAATACAGAGCAGAGTAGGGAGGTCTAAGATATTTAGGAGCTAAGGACTTATATCTGATTATACCTCTCCTGATTCCCAGACAGCTCAATGCTGGGTACTTTTCTTCTCCTTTGCACTAGAAGTAAAAATTACTTTGAGCATCAGATCCAGAGTATACAGAACTATCACTTGAGCCACTATTCCTTAGAACTGGCTTTCAAATCATTTGTTATTCTACTAAGGTGGGTTTGTATAAACGTTTTATATGTTAGGCATAGGCAGCAAGAGATTTATTTGAAAAAGAATAAATAAGAGCTATCTCCCTCAAGAGTCTCATCCATAAAGTTTCATCTCTGGGGAAATCAACAAGCAGAATTAATAGACATATTCCCCTGTGGTTCTCTAGTGTGTAATGTAGCCCACTGTTAGAATTCCTAGCTCTTTTTAAAGTATAGACTTAGTAAAAGTATGTGAGAAACACAAAAATATTCCAAAAACTTTAAATATGTACAGCAAAGATATTTTTAAAAACTATTTCCTCGAAAGAAAATTAAAGAACAGGGTAAGCAACTAAAAGAACTTGAACATTGAAACTGTCGTTTACAGCTGCCAAATATGCTTAGATAGTTTGAGGGAGTTTCAAAAATCATTTTACTTGAAA